GCTAAATTCTTTAATGTTTTGGGACTGGGCAGGACAATCTTTAAATGCTGCAGTGCTACATGCAGAGTTATGCTAATTAGTGCCTTTTTAGACACTGATCCCTTACTGTATGTAGACTAATACCGCAAACTGGTCCAGTTTTAGTCTATGGTACCTTTGACCTTACTGGTTCTGAGGTTGGTCTGGGACAGAATAATTTATTTCTGATTTGCTGGTTATGGTAATTGATGAAATAAAAATTCCCCAGACTGTCCCTTGGAATACCCTGAGTTAACTGTTCCCTTAGGCTGTGCAAGCTGGCCTTTCAAAAAGCCTGATTTTTGGAGGCATAGTCTTAACAGTTTATGCATGGAAAAGATATACTCCCAGTGGAAGAATCTATAAGTAAAAAAGCTTATCCCTACAGACAGATACTGGCAGAAGCCGAAGACCTGCCATGAAGTGGCTCATTTCATAAGCATTGCCCATCAAACACAGACACCCCTTTGCACATATCACTGTGACCAGGTGGTGTGACATGTGGCCATGAGCAAATAAATGTTTTGATAGGTAAACCTCAGCTATGTTTTTCTAAACAATTTTTTTTAGTGTTTCTAAATGTGTTTTCCTATCATGACTGTTAGTAGATCATGTATGGAATATCATTAATTATCATGTATAACATGTCTGTTCTCTTATTGCTGATCTCCCATGAAAATACCCTTGTGGTTCTTCGCTGGTATGTCACAGCAGATGCTTTTGCTTTTTCTATTGCTGTAAACAAGCTGTTGTGACTGATACTTCTTTTCACCATATGTCCTGAACACTCCCAGTTCATCCTCACATGTAATTTCCAGGATGCCTCGTAGGGTGTGTATACCTCCACCCGATTTCAAAATCAGTGTAGCTCTCCATGGATTGACTAATGACTGCAAGGTGTAACTTACCATGCTGGTTTTGGCTGACAGTGCTGCTAAACGAACAGTTGTTTGCTTAACATGTCTTTCATGGTTCCCATGTGAAGTAACTTTTTCTGAGAAATTCAGCATGCCAATGCCTTCAGGTCTGCTGATAAGCATTTATCTGTTATGCTGTTGAGACCAAAAAGGAGCGTGACCCCAGCTTGTTGCCCTGAATACTGATAGTTTTGCCCTGTCCCTTAGCCATATCGTATGTATTGTCCTCATACATTTTGTTATGCTGATCTCATCATTCCTACATCCATCAAGAATCTGTAGAGTAGGAGTGGGTGGGTGGCGAGAACTAAGAAAACTGTGATGTACCTGTAAGGGTGTTGTGCTGATGCAGTGTATAAGATGTTGTAATTCTGTCCCACTGTGAGGATCTAGGACTGATGGCACATTTTCTTACATTTGTTTTCATTTATGTTGTTGTTTTAGGCCATTCTCAACCCTCTTCATAGAATAGGATATGCAGCACCAAAGAGGAATTGCTTGTGCACAGCAAACATATTTACTTGTTATTATAATGGGTGGATATGCCTTGTTATTCACCTGTGATGTGTTGACCTTCCAGAAGCTCTGCCTGGCATTTCAGTAATAGCATATGTGATGGTACAGTATTGAGTGTGGTCAGGAATGGTGTCTCTACTAATCATTTTAATGAAAGCAGTCATGTGGAGGTGAACAGAAACTGAATTTAAATAGTAAACATGAAAGAAGTTCAACTACAGGAAAGGGCATTCTTTCAGCATCTCTCTCATCTGACTTTAGGTTTCTGTATTAGATGGTTGCCTGAGCTTTTGTCATACGTGTTGCTGTACTGTCCTCGCAATATAATGTATTGCTGTTGGGATTACAGCTGGTGGGAAAGACTTTTTTCCTCTTGATAGCTGGTGAAATTGTTCATGTTGCCTGTAGCAAATAGCATGCTAGCTCTTACTTTGATAGATCTGTGGTGGCATGCTGTGTGATTATAGTTTATGTAGGTAAGGGAGGGTTTTATATAAGTGCTTTCTTGAGGTTGGTACAGATGTCTGTATGCAAATTTTTGTAGCTCCACAGTGAAACAGACAAAGCTGCATATCACAGAATCACGGAATCATAGAGTATCCTGAACTAGAAGGGACCCAAAAGCATCATTGAGTCCAGCTCCTGGCCCTGCACAAGACAAGCCCAAGAATCACACCATGTGCCTGAGAGTGTTACCCAAACACTTCTGGAACTCAGACAGACTTGGTGCTGCAGGGAGCCTGTTCTAGTGCCCGGCCAGCCTCTGCATGGAGAACCTTTTCCTAATATCCAGCCTAAATATCCCCTGACACAGCTTCATGCCATTCTCTCAGGTCTTATTCCTGATCACCAGGGAGCAGAGAGTGATGCCTGCCTTTCTGCTTCCCCTTGTGAGGAAGCTGCTGACTGCAGTGAGGTCTCCCCTCAGTCTTCTCTGTGCTGAATAAACAAAGTGACCTCAGCCACTCCACATATGGCTTCTCTAGACTGTTGACCATCTTCGTGGCCCTCCTTTTGGCTGCTTTTTAGTAGATTTATATCTTTCTTACGTTGTGGCACACAAAATTGCACACAGGCCTTGAGGTGGCCTGTGCAGTGCAGTGCAGAGTGGTGTAATGCAGCTTCTCAGATGTATGTTGGTTTTGCTAGCATAACGCTAGAAGTTGCAGTTGCTGCCTTTTTTCCGCTCATATGTGTAAAGTCTTTTAATTCTGGAAATTGGAGTAGAGAGCACCACTGTTTGAACTAGCCTTGGCTGTGCCCTTCTTTTCGTCTTTCACTCCGAGGGTATGATTGAAGATGGTATGTTGATGCATACCTGCACTCAAATCTTCCATGAGCCAAGAAAAAGACAAAAAGAGCCTGATGTAACTATGTCAATGTGTAATGTGGTGCCTGTGGAGAGGAAAAGGTTATTGACATTGTCTTTGCTACCAGTGGATGCCTATGATGAATGTCCACATAATTTCTTATACTCTTTGTGTCAGTATCAGCAACTTAGAAGCACTACAGGGTCTCTTTTAGTATACGCAGCTGGATCTTCCATATGGGATCTGGCCATAGTGCTCTCATTCATGATGAGGGCAGATCTTAGTGGTGGATTGTTATTTGTCTATGCTTGTGAGTGTGTCTACATGTTATTTTTATGTTAAAGAGAAAATGTTGGAATGTTGGTAAAAACAACCTGATGTTGCAGAAAGGAGTATGTTTGCACTACATGTGGTCCAGATCAAATAATTCTTTTATAATGTCTTGGATTTTAAATGTATTTTGATTTAGTAACTGGTTTTTTGTGCTTGTTTATACTTGAAGGCCAACTATCTCCTCCAGCAGAGTACTGAACAGTTCTGGTTAAGTTTGTGACAGGCCCTCTATTGCAGCAGTTTGCTGTGATGCTGACACAGGCAACTCATTTGAGTGTGTACAATTGTCCCCACTGCACTGGACACAGGATGTTCTGTTTTCCTTTGCTCATTTTGTCAGATTTCATAGGATAAGGACTCTATGCTACTTCTTGGCTTTATGCAGCAGTCTGAGCATCTCTAATGATGTTAGTCTTTCATAGTCACTGAGCTCCTTTGGTACGAAGGTATTCGCATTCACAGTTGGATGTTGTGGTTGGTAATCTTTTATCTCCAGGTGCCTTTGAAAACTTTGCATGCTATCACCTGGCAGTGCATATTTTTTTCTTATTTTTCTTCTTGCCACAACTTGTATCTGCCCAAAGTAAATGTGCCAAACTGGCTCTACTCCTGGAAGAAGTAATAGTTTTATGGATTGCTTTGTTTTGATTAAGGGAAAGTAAAGTTTTCTTGTAGCATTTTATATATCTACAAAGTTCATTTTTACATCAACATTTATTATTCCTTTGGCTCCTGAAATAAAATATATTCTATAGATTTCCAAGGTCTCTGTAAACTTTCAAAGCTGTAAACGATTTGATGAAGTGGACTGTTTTTTTCTCAGTAGCCTCCTTTCCTGTCTTTCACAATGAATAGTAGCATGGTCTGGTAAGGGGCAGAATTTAATGTATGTGGTAGGGGACGAGTGGCTCAGCAGAAATGGTGCTTACCTCCTTTTTTTTCAGTTTGTCCTGTTTTGTCATAATTTTGGGAAAGAAATGGCCTTTGTCTGGCTCAGAAGATGCTTAGCATTAAGGCTTTGACAGATGTCCACCCTTCTTTCCAACTTTGTGCTGTTGCTGGCCATCATTGTACAGCACAGTCCACATCACCTGTAATCCAGTACTTTTGAAGACCTGTCAAAGGTACAGTTCCCTAGAATTTAATGTTGGCTTGAGAAACAGAAGGGAAAACCCCAATTACTGTTTTTAGGGGGTTCCCAAAGTGCTTTTTGCATTCTTAGAATGTCGTAATATTGCCTATGTGATGACCTCCCTTTTATTTCTAAGTATTTATTCTTCAGATCAATCTAGATGTAATTGCTGCAAACAAGTACTTTTCAAGAAACTGTATTTTTGCCTGCCTGTGTGGCATAATGCTTCTTGTTCACACAGCACAAATAAATTGGGGTGGTTTCCTTTCACATTAGCCTATGTATTGCTTTTGCTGGAGTTATCACACTAATGATGCATGTAGATTATAAGCTTCTGTAAAGCTGACTCCAAAATTGTGAGAGAGTGGAGGTTTTAAGAAAACTCTTGATGTTATTTCTGCTTTTTAATCATCTCACATTCTGGACAGAGTTGTATTCATTGTTTTCATGCATGCTGTGTCATGCTGGTTGTTGTTAACATGTTTACTTTCACTACTCAGGGAAGTAAATTTGACTGCAAGGTTCGGTTTTCCCTGTTGTTAGCATGAAAAATACCCAGAAACTGAGTTAAAATGATACTGAGTACTTAATCTCTACATTTCATAGTTACTTTTACTGAAATGAATAATTACCTGGAGGTTACAGCTTCAGAGCAGGAAGCCTAACTGTAGTCAAAAGAAACTGAGATTATGCTAATGAATTTTTGCTTGATGTCCTTTGCTTTGTATTAAAATGTATCGTAATGAATAACATTCTGTTTCTTGTTCCTTACAGGTAAAACGAGAAAAACCAGAAATTATACCAGATTTAGAAAACTTGGTGCAAGAAAAATTAACTACAATTGAGAACAAGAACAGTGACTCAGATTTGAAAAGCCATGAAAAATACATGTATTTTATGGATCAGCTTAAAGAGATGAAAAAACAATGTAAGTCTGATTTAAAAAAAAAATAAGATTCTGTGAATGCTAACTGGTAAGATGTGACTAACTGCCCTAAAATATAGAATTGCCAATTATGGCTTAAACTGGTGTGAGTGTTCTTACTTAAAAACTTATTTAAATTGATATCTGAGTAGAAAAAGGCCAGTGTAATTACTTTGGTAGTTTTATTTAGACTCCCACAGTTCCTGCTGTGTTTGAATACAAATATCATGAAAATCCCATTTTTTTTTGGTAAGGTGGGCTTTGTCATTTGAAGACCTTTTGCATTTATTTTCTTAATTGATAGGATCTTCTAAAAGGATTAGGTAAGCTGTTTTCATTTGTCACTTAAACAAATTGCTCCTGTTTCACAACTTAGGATGTGTTGCAACTCTAAGAAGACCTTTGCTTTAATCGTAGAACTATATTGTTGGAAAATGCTTACTGTATGTGTTCTCAGGTTTATAGCTTCGTGCACGCACCATGAAACACTGCAACTTAGTAAAATCTGGTTTTCTTAATTCACATAATTTTTCTAGTGTTAAAATTTCAAGTTATATCTGCTTGAATTACCAGAAGAGTTGGAGAGTGAACAGTTCTGTTATTTATGCAACACAACAAAATTGTATGCTTTTATTGCCCCACACATATAGCAGCCATTAAAACATCACTCTGATTACTGGTTCTAGGAAAGTTCACGGGCTCTGACACTATTTGTGTCGCTCTTCCCCAATCATGATTATGTTTTGAAATCATATTTTTCTGCTTGCTGTCCCTTGACCCCCTTGCTGTACCTATTCCCTCCCACCTTACATTTTGATTTCGACATGAACTGGTATCTCAGGAACTTCAGGAGTCATAGATTAATGATTTATACCATTGGAAAAGGATATTCTGGACGCTCTCCTGTAGCTCTCCTTGAGTTTTGGGGTTTTTTGGAGCCCCATTCAAACCTCACTGGAAGTAGCAGAAAGAATTTGCCCACTGATTCCACTGGACTTCAGGTTACTTCCCTATAGAGACTTACGGGATGTGAGGACATGTTTGACAAGGTGAACTTTAGATCTGGTGTCTCAAGACTCCCTAGGATTAAAGCTTGAGGGCTTAATATATTTGTTTCTCATCTTTATGGGTTTTAAGATTTTCGATTTGAGTATTAGCACTGATCTTAGCACTACTCTAAGAAAGAACATACCAAGTTGTAGACCACAAAACAGTGTAATTTTCACTCCCTACATAACCATAAAATTATTACTGCCCTGACATTATGTTGTAATTCCTAATTTCCAGGTGTTTGTAACTAAGAAGATAAAAATCTTGATAACTGACTTCAGCTTTACTTTCCACCCTGTAATTGCCTGAGGAAGGGGTGTATGCCCTAGGAATAGATTCAGTTCAAGCTATGGGACTGAGTTCTAACTGGCAGACCTGTTGAAAAAAACCCCAAATTAAATAAACACCGTAAAAATTATTCTTAAAAAAATATGAGAACGTCATTCTGCTACTGCTGCCTGAAATCCAGATTTGTCTTACTAGCCACTTGACTTTTGTTTTGGTTGTGTACAGAGGTCAGACTGTGCCCAAAATGAAATGCATGATGATGTTGGGTAGACTGCTGTGTTCTGTACAAGGACTGTTTATCAGCTGGGTCAACTTGGGGTTTGTAGAATTCATGTTGGTTTTGATCAAGTAAATCCATCACATTTGCTCCTCTTGACATATTTAATGCAATTTAAAAGATTTAATGAAAAATGGTACTTAGCTTTCGCAAACAGTCTTGGATGCAATATAGTGAACATGTATACAAGGGAACAGTCTGGTGCAGCCACCTTCTTTGGCAATGAAGTGTCACCTCAGGTCTGCAGATAGGTGAGAAATACAAAGTTAAGTTTTTGAAAGCAAGCACAATTCTGCTGCCTTAAACTTGCATTAGTGTTGTGTCTTCTGCCTACATAATCTGTTGATCCAATATGAAATTATTTTCCTACACTGCTTTCCTATTCAAAAGGTTCTTTTACCAGGAAGGCTTTTAGAAGTTGTTGAGTAATAATGGGTGACTGAAGTTCGGTGGAGCCTGTTTATATTCACATACTTAAATTTGCTTCTGTATGATACAGTGACCTGGAACCTTTAAGACTGTCTAGTTTCTCTATTTATTGTAGTTATGTCATCTTCTTGCCAGTACCCTTATCTTCCCTCTCTCCTTTTGTGTGTTTTTGTCACTCATACCTAGCCCTTAAAAAGACATGTGGAACCGCATATCAAAAAATATATTCACAAGCTTAAAAATGACAGGTACATTCTTATAGGAATTCTTATAGGGCCTCTGGTCTTAACATCTTTGTGAGAGACTAAACACATGTACTCCATCTGGTACAAAAAGCCACTTCTCATTATTGAGCTCTACATAGTAAATTATTATGTCGAGATGTGTAATTGAGCACTGTCAGTATTATCTAAAGTACTAGATATAATCTTAAGCTGCTCCAGGGGAGGTTTAGGTTGGACATAGAAGGAATTTCTTCACAGAAAGGGTGATTAGACATTGGAATGGACCACCCAGGAAGGTGGTGGAGTCACTGTCCCTGAAGGTGTTTAAGGAAAGACTGGACATAGCACTTGGTGCCATGGTCTGGTTGACATGGTGATGTTCAGTCATAGTTTGGACTATGATCCCAGAGGTCATTTCCAACCTGATTCTGTGATTCTGTGATATGCCATGTTGAAAATAGTATTACTGTGAAGAAAGATTGGACTCAGAGGCAGGAATTTCAGAGCTGCAATACCAGCTGAGCTGGAGAGTCATGAAATCCGTAAAAGACATTATGAGTTTCCATAAACTGGTGATTGACCTTATAGGACACTGTGTACATGTGTTTTTGGTGTTAGGGTTTTGGGTTTTTTTTTTAAAGAGAACATTAAGGTCATCCTGTTAAATATTCAATATTTGTGCTTATATCAAGTCAACTATGTATTCTTTAGTTTCTCCTGTATGAGTTGTGATTTCAAAAGCATGAGCCCTACAATTCCGGTCCCATCTTACAGCATATTACAATGTGTCTGCAAATTTTGGGACACGCTTTAAAACTGCTTGATGTGAGTTACATGTATCAGTAACTTCAGCAAAAACTATCTGGTTATTATTTTGTTTTCAATCATTAGTCTTGCCAGGTTTGCACACAACTTAGTTCAATATTCCTGGCCTGTTTCAAGAACACGTATACAGTTGTGGTCCAATTTTTAGCTCTTTTCTGGGATTTTGTTTTTTGCTAAATCGCATAAAATATAGAAACTCCAACCAGGTTTTCTCAGAGGGGCTTTCCTGGGGTTTTCTTTTGTTTCAGTCTTTTCTATCTCAAAAGAGCAGATGGGGTGAATGCTAAAATGAGTTGCTGTCCAGGATGTGTTACCATTAATCATTGTGTATCTTTTATTCATAGTTCAACGTTTGTGTTCTAGAATAGCTGAACAAGGAAATATTCTCACATTGTCTTGCTACTTAAAAATTAACTAGGATTTTAAGGAGAAAAAATTTCTCAACACAGTTTTTAGGTATAGTGCAGAGTGCGAAGCAGTTAAATACAACCTTATTTTAAGAAAAAAATTAAGAAAAGTAGTATGTTTTCTCTCTTGATATTTGCTGCCACAGTGATGAAAGGGAGCTGCATGGTTGTTCCCTGCCCCCTGACAGGTGACAGGCAGTACTGTAAGTAGCTCTAATACTCAGGGAGGAGAACAGAGCTGTATCACCTTCAGCTTGTCTCCTTCTCTTGGCAGTTCTGTGGGAAGGAGGCCTTCTCAGCTTTGAACTTCAGCAGCAGCTAAGGTGCAGAAATGAAATTGGGCAAATGCATCTCTGGCAGTAAGGTTGATATCATGCCTCAGAGCAGTTTCTGTTCTGCTCATCTTTCAGACAGTTTTCAGGCATTTTCTCTCAATATGTGAGCCTTTATTATGCAGCTACTTCAGCTAGAGTTTGTGCAAAGTGATGCAAAATCTCCACCTCTGATGATATGTGTCAAAACACTGTCAGACAGGTTTTATGTGAACAGAAAGTGGTTTTTCTGAAGTCTGTTTTCAGAACTATCTTAGTTTCCTAAATTCCCACTTCTTACTTTTAATGGAAAACATTTTCATTTTTCCTCTAAGCCTTCTTAGAATGTAAGCAGTAGAAAGGAGTTTGATTAATTTGTCTTTTTTTTTTAACCATTTCTTGTGTCCCTAAGTGGCTACATTATCTTTTCCAAATAACTGAGCACTTGGAGAGATATTCACTAAATCTGATAATACCAGAAAGTTCTAAATGATTGCATGTGTGGTTTGTAAGGAGAATTTTTTTACCTTAACACTACATGACTGATGCTCTCCTTACCCATAAGGGTCCTGGATCTGCAAAGTGCTTAGACATGTTTTGAATAAGTGAAATGCTTAAGCAAGTTGCTTAAATTAAATTGCATGAGTAGATGCTTTGAAATTAGTGAGATTGCTGGCATGTTTCATTTCCTTAGTGGAGCATAACCACAGTGCAGAACCTTGCAGGAGTGAGCCCATAGGAACTAAGCCTTGATTACTGCAGGAATTGTAACTTTGCATTTTGTATCTTCTGTAAGTTTAAAATCCCACCTTCTGTTTGAAGTTGTATTACTTAGTCTTTTTATTTCATGCCAGTATATATATATATATATATATATCTGTCTATCTCAAAGGCATCTTCTGGCACAGATTATGAGAATTTTGCTTTCACAGAATGAAACTAAGATCTGTCTTTAATCTCTGTGTAACAGTTTAAATTTCTGATACTCTGTGAAGAGAGATAATCAGAAGGTATAATCTCTGCTCCTATGACTAGCTGCCACTGCTGTATTTGCTGAAGGTTATTTAGTGCCACATTTGGTGCACAAAGGATGGATGACAGGTCTCATAGCTTTTTTGTAGCAGCTGACAACATGCACTTTGGAATCCTTGATAAATATGGTCTCTGTGAACACCCAACAGATGCACACTTC